CCACGCTGTGAACCTTCTACAAAACTGCAACTTCAGCTCATGAATTACAATAGATTTCTATGATGTCTGCCTCTTAAAGGAAGGCGTGGGGAGTATTGTCAGTGGGTTTCCTAATCTTTTCTGTCTTTGATATCATGGGTGGAGTCTCTATACTCCACAGCTTACTCATATCAGTGCTTCACCGTGTCTGTGTGCTAAGAGTATAAGAAGTCTTTCTGGCTGGAAGCAAACTGCCAAATGAAGCAGATCAGCTGGGCTGGGATGTGTCCCAGACTAGATGATGCACTTCATTGGGTGAAATCCATTGCCCATCATCCTATTTATTGATCTTACAGAACAACAGGTGATGTTCCCAGATGTGCTCTAAGAATCTCTGGAGTGTGTCTCTCCATTTCCGCATTTACAGAGATGTACCCCAGAGACCACACTGGAGCAAGTTGGACACTCCAGTGTGGTCCCAGATCTGGGGCTGCCAATCAGCTCTAAACTGTGTGGGAATGTCAACAGACATCATGGCAATCCCAAATGGGGGAACATAGGCTCCCAGGGCTTCAGGAGCCTGATCCTGCATGCCGTGGGATTGGAATTTCCAAATGCAGGCAGGATCAGGATCCTGAAGACCTGGGAGTACCTGCTTGGGGCAGCTGGAGTATGCAGGCATTTTTGGGTTGACCATACTGTTCTGCCATAAACCTAACAGACAACTGCAATAAAGCAGCACAAATTGATACTGCTCTGCTGTGTGAGTGGGTGGGTGGGCACTCTCTAGCACTGCACCAGCCATGTAGCTCTCCCCAACCTCAATTCTTGAGCTATGAGTTCCTGCATGCTGCATTGCCCAGGGTTGGGGTGGAGAGATGTATCCCACCCCTAGGCAGGTGAACAAAGCAGAAGTTGAAGGGAAAGCCCAGGGATCCTGGCTGCTACTGCAGCTAGAATGATAGGGGGAGTGGTGGCTGAGTGGGAGCCTGGGGAGCCACAGATTAACCTCTTGCCAGTTGAACAGCTCTGAGTTAGTCTATAAGATGCATCTCTCCACCCTGCCTTCTTCATGACTTCAGATTAACATGGCTAACTACCTCTGCTTGTGGAACGTGAGCAATTTCTGAATCCTGAAGGGTGGTTATATCTGATAGTGAGATAGGACTTGACCATTCCTACCAATTAATAAGCCATAGCTTTTTTGGTAAGCCTTATAATGTATTAGCAAATGCTACAGAGGCCACAATATCCTGAATATAATTATGAATGCTTATTTTGATGAAAGAAGCAGTATTTAACTAGAGTTGATGGTAATGTCCTATTAAAAGGATAAAAGTATGTGCTCATCTCAAAGTTTTATTCAGATGTTCTACTTCACGCTGTTTATGTGGTACTTTACTGTGATTTCTCTGTTTTACAGATCCTTTATCATCACTAGGCAGTATTTGCTATTTTCAAAAATGATATGAAGTATTTTCATTTTTAGGCAGGAGCTAGAAACCCTACTGTGAAATTATTTATAGTGAACACCCAATCTCTTACTCCTTTGAATTCCACTGAGATTACTGTACCACATAAGATATCGAGGTGAGTAGTTCTTATGGTACGTGTGTTTTAATTGTGATTCTTTACTGATACTGTGTTGCTGGCTTGGAAGGATAATTCACTTATGCCCTTTCAGCTGCATCCTCACTTTGACAGCACAAAAGCTGAACTTACTTCAAGTTTGCTCCTGTTTTGATACCAGTGCAGCTCCATATAACTGATACTAATGCAGCAGTGAACTGGACTCAGTGTGTGCAAAAGCACTGATGTTTAAATTCATTCTGCTTGTGAGCATATACAGTTAAGGTGTAAGAAACACTTGATACAGTGACTATTAAAAACCTTGCACCCCATCTGTGGTATGCGTGTGTACATGAACCCATGCACACCAACCTGTCTTACAGGAATTACCCAATAAAAAAGTTTAATAATTAAACAGTAGTATATGGTTGATATAGTGCATGGGTGTTGAACTCACAGCGGGCCCCAAGCCAGATCTGGTGTGTGAAGGACTCCTCCCATGTCAGAACTGTGGGCCCAGTAATATTTGAGTGGCAGTACAGGTCAAGGGTCCTGCCATTGATGGCCATGTCCATTAGGGTCTAGGGACCCTGAATTCTGTGGCAGGCCATACTCCCCAACTTCCAGTAGCCCACCAGACTACTAGTAAGCTAAAATAAATGGTTTTGTGGGCCAGATCTGGTCTGTAGTCTGGATGTTTACCCTGATACTGTAAAGCAATTGGAATTATGCTAAGGACTGTGCAGAAAATACTGAGAGGAAAGTGACTGCAACTGTGTTGTGCTCCTTCACCTCCCCCCCACCCCCTTTTATGAAAGGCAAGTTAGTCCCCAAGAGCAGATAATATTACTACATTTGTGGTGAAAGAGGAGGGGGAGTGCAGGCCAGATTTCTGGGATGGCAGTATTCTTTTCTCACTTCTGCATGAGGTTTTTCTAAACATAGTGGTTTATATTTCACCCAGGAAATTCAATGTTCAGAGAGGCTCTGAGTGCCCAAGTAAACTGTTTGGCCCTTAGCGTTTAGAACATTCCCATAACTAGTAGAATGTATTCAAGAAGAGCGATCTTACTTACCATTTTGAGTGAAATGTATGCCTTTTCAGAGACCCAGCATGGGGTCCTTCCATCTTTCAAACCCAAATTTAGTCCTATATTATGGTGAGTGCTACTATAGGACTGTTTAGTGGACTGTAATACACAGGGATGGATTTGACCCCGGGAAGATCAGCTTGTATTACTTTGGGAAGTGAGTTCTTTGAAGAGAGGGAAAGAGAGTTAATACAGTAATTGTAGGAATTAAACTAAATTCATCATAATGCAATATAGACTGCATGTGAAAAAATATCCAAAAACTGGAGGGGACATCTCATGCTCTCTGACGGAAATTACTAAAAGGCACGCTTCTCCCTGAAATTTCATTTTTTTTTCCCTGAGGTTTGAGCCGTATTTCTACAAAACTATGAAAACGGGACATTAAAATGAAAATGGAGTACAGCTGTCCTACTAGCAATCCCTTTCACAACCAAGTGCCATGCTCACAGTAATATAGAAATGAAGATTATGTACTAAAAAAGCCCTGCACTTTAATCAGAAATAGATGAAAAAGTAGCCAGGGAAGCAGGAATGTGATTTGTTGGATAGTCTGTTGTAGGGGTTGTGGCTGCATGTATTGTTCTCACTGAAGCAGTTTTTTGGTGGGGGAAAGGATTTATGGTTTCACCAACTGTTAAGTGCTTTAATTGCCAAAACTCCCACATGCCTTTTATTAACTGAATGTCAAGGGAAGAAGACACAGTGAATATGAACTTTGACAAAAAATAATTAAGCTAAAATGTATAGATAAGAGCAAAGCTCTGTAGAAACATTTGCTTTAGTTCAGTTCACAAAGCCTTCAGTATGTGCTCCTTCAGAACAAAAGAGTACCTTCTAATTATATTTCCAGCAATAACAGACTATAGTAAGTAAGAGCATTGACTGCATCCAGATGAGCATGGCTGTGTGGTATGTGGTGCTGCAGACCTGTCTATGGCCCCACACACCACGCATTCAGGCATTCCCTGTGCTACTACCTTTCAGCACAAGGGGTTTTATTGACCCTGGAAGATCTTGGGGTTATAAAAGCCTATGTGGAAAAAAAGGGCTGTGCACATGGCGGCAGTGCATACTGCCCCAAACCAGAGCCTGGCTGGCTAGAACCACACTTTGGCTGCCGGCCAGGCTCCCAGCTGCAGGAGCGCCACAGCTGCAGCTTCCCTGGCCTTCAGGACCTCAGGTAAGGCTGCTGGGGCAAGCATAGTTGCTGGCCCCAGCCTCTTCTATCCCACCCAAGGTAACCTGCTGTGCACCAGAGCACTCAAGGCATAGGCGTTCCCCAGGGACAAGTAGCAGGCCGTTCCCCAGGGACAAGTAGCAGTGGCACAAGGTGTGCTGCTGCTACTTGTCCCCAGGGAACCAAATGTGGATGCGGCCATTGAGTTATGCATGTGCTTTCTTACGATTTCCTGAGGTGCCCCCGTTAATCAAAAGTTTACACTTAAAGGAGAAAGCTTTTATCTGTGATTCTGAGTCTTAGCTAGATGATGTTCTGCAGATGAAGCAATTAGTATACAAGTAGCTATACAGTCGGACCTTTCATACTAATTAAAGGTCTCAATGATTCATCTGACTGAGTTAAGAGAATGTACTTGGCAAATGTTTAGGACCAGCTCACAATATTTCAGTTTGCCACTGTGTTCACATAGAACTTTATGGAGATTGTGGGGTAAAATTAAAAAATCTGAGACACTTACCATTTTGAAGCACAATGTAGGTCTTATCACATGCTATTGACCGTTCTGATTTTTATTGTCTGTTTATATTCAACTACAGTATTTGTAAGACATGGGTGCGTACAGACTCTGTCTAATTCTTACTGTATGAGTGAACATAAGTCAAAGCATAAACAGAAAGCACTGCAATGCAATATAACAATTGTAAGGCAGACCAGTACTGAAAAGTCAAATTAAACTAGAATATAAGACCTGAATTGGTAGAATTCACTGAGCCCTCAGGCACTATGCTATAGTAAAGTAATACAGAAAACTTTAAAGTGTATAATAATTTTCATTATTTCTAGGGAGCACTATTTGAGTGTTGTGACATGGGTAACTGATGAAAGGATCTGTCTGCAGTGGCTCAATAGGATTCAGAATTATTCTGTACTCACAGTCTGTGACTTTGAAAAAAACAGTGGAGCGTGGCTGTGCCCAGAGGTATGAAAAATGGGACAAAAGTATCAGGCAATTCATATTTATGAAAAGGATAGATAAGAAATGATTTGGAGGGAATTAAAATATATCCACATATGTTTGTACTTTTAGTTGTGAGAGAAGATTAACATAATGTTTAGGGGTTCTTTTTTTTCTTTCTCAGGAAAAACAACATGAACAAGAAAGCAAAACTGGCTGGATTGGCAGAGTGAGTTCAGGTTCTATATTACAGCATTTAAGTAACACATTGATAATTAAATGTAAAGATAACATTCTTTTCTGAACTCCTACTTTTGTATTGCCCTTTTTACAATTCTTCTTCTATAACTTTGGACCATCAACTACACACATGGAAAATGGAATTGCTCTCCAATGGAGCTGTCCAAAACTCCAGTTTAAGGTTTGAGATTCTAAACTTGGTGGGTTTCTCCTCACCTCCCTGTCTCTCAGAAACAGTATCTTGCTGCGTTTTTGCATACATTTGAACAAACCGATGAAAATTTTCACACAGCTCTGCCAAGCAGAACACTGTCTGAATCCCTCTGGATTCAGAGGGACTGAATGCCATGTGGTAGAAAGTAGACACCTAGGGCACATCCAAATAAGCATGGATGTGCAGCATGTGGTGCTGCAGACCCATCTGTGGCACCACACACCACAAACACTGCACACACAAGTGTTCCCTGCACTTCTAATTTGCAGCATGGGGGGAGGGGAGGGACTGAGGCCAGGAAATCCCAGGGGCAAAAAAACCTGCACCTAAAAAAAAAAAAATACATTTGGGATGGAGCAAATGGTGGCAGTACAAGTTGCCCCAAATCAGAGCCTGGCCAGCTGGAGCCATGCTTCAGCTACCAGCCAGGCTCCTTGCTGCAGGATCACCACAGCTACAGCTCCTGGAGGCCCCCAGAACTCCAGGTAAGGCTGCTGGGGCCAGCATAGTCGCACATGGCATGGGCGTCCCCC